TTCAGTTTCAGTTTGTTTCCACCGCCAAATGATTCTATGTTCTGGCAATACAAGCCCCTCAGTTGTGCGACAAGATTACGCTATACAGGAGTCTAACTGCAACGCGCGCTTCCCAAATTGGTTTTGTTTCGTAGTTGATAATGATGTTTCTTGATAACAAGGGAATTGATGGAAAGTACAACCAGTGATATTTCTCTAGTCCCCAAAACTAAACTCCTATTCAGTGCCTTTTGAATCAAAATGGGTTTCAAATGAAATGACGAAATTTTCACAAACATATTTGGGAAATATTTCCAGCTATTTCCAGTTGTTCATATTTTCTTAACTCCTTGAGAATAAAAAAACTGTGGGATTTTCGATAGCTTTATGGGAAGTTTTACGCATGCACTTGATAAAAAAGTAAGATCTCCCACTTACTTCGTTTGGTCTAGAGGTGTTTCTGGATCATAAACGCTTTTTTTTGCGTAAAAGGTTCCCGGGGTTTTGGTAGAATTCGTGACGGTCACGCGGACCTTCGACTTAGGTGTTTAACGAGAATACAAGAATTTTAATTACGGACAGCCTCGGGCGATCAGATAAGATGACGAAAACGAACAAACAAACAAGGTAATAAACAAATATCAAACATCCCGCGGAACTTGACTGTCACGCTGCAAAAATAGCGTGACGGAGGAAACTTTGAGATTCTCGCTCTTTTTTTATAATGAAATGTACAGTTGTGCTACATTTTCTTTAAATTACTTTTGTTTGACTCTCTTTTTTGATTCTTAACCATGTTTTCTAGCGCATTACAATCGATTCTATTTCATTTCCAGCTATGGCGAAAAGTTACCTCCCAACAACGGGAGAGGAACTGGAGGTGAAAAATAAGCTTCCGGCCACGGGTGAGAAACAGGCTTGTAATGCATGCAAGAGGTATTCTTTTGAATGGCTGGGTTGGGATGAGACACTCCTTTTTCAATTTTTTCAAGAAAAAGATCATTAACTTCAAAGTTTCCAACAAATTCATAGTTCAAGAAAAAGGGGAAAAAAAGACCCATCTAATTTAGATGAAATCAAACCAGACACAGGTATTTTGTGGTCTGATGTCACTGTTCTCGGAACAGTTCTGAGCAGAGGTAAACTACAGTTGTGCCACGCTTACTGTAGTCTCCTCTGCAACTTTTGTTTGATCTTGTCACGCAGCCTGCTCCCTCCCACGTGACGTGACGAGACCAAACAGCGGATGCGATTAAGATTTCTCTGGCTTGCGAGTAGGCCCGTATAGTAGGCTTTTAAGTAATGTGCTCCAGGCTTTTATTATTGATGCTTCGAAACGTGAATTTAAAAGTTTTACCGCTGTAAGCAAACTAAAACCCCATTTTATCTTTAGGAGACCTTAACCGAAGATATTTTGCGTCTCTGCTTTTTAAATAACTAAAAATACATTGAACGAAGAGAGAAGAGAATCATATATTACAGAATTTTATAAGAAAAAAAATTAACTCAAAAAGCGATAGGGAAGGTCTTCTTTATGGTAATTTTGGAGTCAGTTAAGACCAAATCAACTTGAAGTTTTAAGGAATTTTAAAAACTCGCCTGTATCATATGTGACGTGGAGGGCTTAAGTGTATTTGATCAATGCATGGAATTGCACATGATTGTGATCACTGATTACATTAAAACATTTTCTTGGTAATTTCAGCAACAGAAGAAAGTCAAGTTACTTCATGTGACTCTAAACTGGGTGTATGTGATGACCTTTTGAGAGGTGAGAAAACGAGGTGAAATCAGAATTTTTTTAAAGATGCCCCAGTATAGTCTTTGACATATTTGTATCAAGTTTGATACTGTTCTCTGAATAACTTTGGAAACAGGAAAAACAGCTCTTTCGATTTCAAACTTTATCGCTATTAGAAAATAGAAAAAATCGCTCGACCCCGCGCAATCTGTTCAAAGTGTATAATCGTATGCAAATACATGGATTGAATGTCGACACTAAAATTTATCAATAGCACTACAGATAAAAGGAAAACACAAACAAATACAAAAACCAAAAAAAGAAAATAAGGAAAAAATAAAGAAGCGTTTTACTTATCAGTGATACATTTCAACATTTCAATAAAAAACATATTATCCGACCCTGAACCCGGTTTGTTTTCAGGGATAGCAAAAGAATGTCTCGAGAAAGGAAACAAAGAATACAGACATGGAGAAATTAATGACGCAATTAAGTCCTACACTGAAGGACTTCAAGTCAACTGCAAAGATAAACGGTTAAACGCCAAGCTTTATAGCAATAGGGCAGCAGCTCATTTTCATTCGGGTAAGGATTTTATTTCAAACTTCTAGATTTGTCATGCAGCGATAGATAATGGAATACNGTTTGCTATCAGATAGAAGTTGCTGTATACATATACATGCACTTTGATCTAACACCAAATTCTCATAACTGTCTCATAAATGCAAATAGCAGCTATAGAGAGGAGAATTATAAATCAGATCTTGGGAGTTAAATAGCTAGGGGACAGGGTGGTGGAGAATTTTTACAAGTTATGTTTCAATTATTACCAGGAACCCATATGCAGTTCGCTGTTACAATGAAAGTAATTTTCAAGTTTATCACGAAGAACAGTTACGTAATGTTTTTTTTTTTACAGTGTCCTGAAAAGTGAGTGATAAGGACAGACAAATTAGAACTAAGTGTTAACCTTTGATCTGCATGTACGTAGAATCCATCAAATGAAATGCTTTGAGGAGACTTAAAACCACACTTTCATTGCAAATGAATTGATGGTTGCAGTTTATTACAAACAAGATCTTCTACACAAGATGATCAAATTTACTCAGATTAGCATCTCTGCAGCACAATCACAAAGGGTTTGGACAGGTTTCAGTTTGTAACACTCACTAAAATTCGAGACAAATTGGATCGTACCAAAATTTATAACTGTAACCTCCCCTCCCTTCTCTCCCTTATGTTGTTAATGGCACCTACAGAAGGTAAACTGGGGTCTTCAAAGCCTTTGATACAAACACAAAGACAATCATAACTGAAAGAGAACAACTTACAAAAGCTTGGCTTGATGAGTTCCTTTCTCTGTTACTTCCTGGAATCCCAAGAGATCCTGTGAGAATCATCTGGAAGTAAGAAACAAGAAAACACTGAGAATAGATTGTCAAACATTCTCAGAGGTTACATAGTTAAAAGTTAGTATCTTGGCTTCTGAAGAACAATCTTACCAAGTGGGATGAGAAGTTAAGAAGGAAAAAAGGTAAGGGCGGCTGAATCAAGCAAAAGTTTCTTATGGCCACAGCACATCCTGATTTCCGTAGCATGAAACCATTAATGGAGTATTGCTACTTCTGCTGAGTCAGATGCTGGCCCATTACATGGTGTCTTGGATCAGTGAAAGGGAGAAAGACAGAGAACCAGAAAAAGTGGGAAGACCCCAGAAACAGCCATTATCAACTCCTTGGGACTAAAAAACAGGCTTGTTCAAATAATCTGGCAACTGGACCATTTCAGCTGGGTCTGCTCCAAAAAATGAGCCAGCTTTTTCGAATATTTGTGGCTCAATTTTCAGCATGGAAGCACAGCATTGTGCTGTATACTAATTATTCTGTTATTAAGAAAATATCAGTCAGTTATTGTGATGTGCTTTTCACTTTGTATAAACATGTGTATTCTCAATAGATTTGTATAGGTAATGACATGATTCTGAGTGCAACTTGGAATAAATAAGCACGAGTAAATCTTTTCAAAGACTAACAAAATTGCCCATAGGGCGAGTGCAATTTGTGGTCTTTGAAAACATTTAAAAGTGTTCATCTATTCCAAATTGCACACGAAAATCATGAGATTATGTATAATATATACATGAAAAAATACAAGGTAGCTTCTCAAAACTACGAAGAAGAAAAGCATGCGCATCACGTGCAAAAATAATTTATTCAAACCCTGCAAGTGACGTCGACCTTGACCTTGACATTGATCTTGACATTGACTAATCATTCTGACCAATCAGAATGTCTGATTTGTTTCTTTCTTTGCACTAAATTAACCCTCTTCTGCACTGAATTCACTGAAAACTGCATTCATCTTAACCAATCAGAACTAGGAAGTTTTTTCATGTTTAACAAATGGAGAAGCCTTGACTGTGCTCTGTTCTGTAGCAAAGCACGCAGGAAACGGCTAGAGCACGAAAGAAGTGTAGGGAGAAAAACGAGATGTAGTTGAGTGTTTCTCCCCACTTCTTGAGTGCTCTAGCCGCTTCCTAAGTGCTTTACTACAGAACAGAGCACAGTCAAGGCTTCTCTATTTGTTTTATAATTAAGAGTCCATTAAATTCCCCACACATCACTAGCAATTTCCAAACAAACTTTATTTTCAAAGCGAACAACAGTGTCATCAGCATGCTCGGTACTCTGACAGAGGACGCTTACAATAAGCCAACCAGAATCCTTGTTAGAATGGGCAACCTAACTTGATTGGATGAACAAGACCAAAGCTGTCAAAATGTCAAACCATCAAAAGCTATCACAAAGAATCGCAAATCTTGCTTAAAATAA